GCCTGCCCGACCCGCGGCGAAGCGGGCAGCGTCCGGGACGATGCTCAAAATCCGTGGGGGCTTGGGAATCGGTGCTCCGGGAGGGCTGGACCAAAGCAGCTGGTTCTCTCCGCTTCCTCCGCTTCTGCGGTGCAAGCGCTGCTCTGGGTGAGGCACCGTGGTTTGATCTTGGGCAAGGAAGTTTGTTTTTTAACCAGACTTAGACCTCTTGGGATATGCATGGATGCTTTTGAATGTTGCGCTGAACCCAAACCTGGCCCTTGATTTTTTTGCCTTTATTTTCCGTCCTTTAAATGTGATAATAGAATTTTTCCCTGAAATGATACAAGGATAATTTTGTTAATGTTTATGAGGTGCTGCTACCACAGTAATGGAGACCTTAGAAGCATCCAAATTAGATGTAGTAAAATGAGCATGAAATCTTACCTTTTTCTTTCATAAACCTTACCGCAGGGTGGATCCGCAGTGGTACACGGTGCAACCCACATCCTTTCCTGGTCTGCGCCGAGTGTCTGTGAGCATCCTGGCAAAGTCAGAGGCTGTTTTTCAAAACATATAGTATATTTTGGCAAGATTCGTCCCTTGATTTGGCTCATCAGGCACTGAGGCAGGACAGTCCTTTAGTTTGTCACCTGTCATGCGGCGTAAAGCTTTTTTTTTTCTTGATGCCCTTTTCATAATGTTAAGATGGCAAATTGTTTGTTACAAAAAAAATAATAAATTCATTCTTGTAAATCTGAGCCTTCCCACCCCAGACTGCCGACAAGTTCATAAGCCAGCCGACCTGAGCAGGAGAGGGTATGGAGCATGGCGTTTGGAAGGAAAATGTTCCAGACGCGTTGCCCATATTAACAGCTTCTCATGAGCAAAAAAAGAAAATAATAGCATGTCTTCTTGATACCAAAGAGTGTGGTTTTAATTAGTATCATAGTTTCAGCTCTTTTTGTGGCAAGAGTTTTGAGGGAATGCTCTAAACAGCTAGTAAACCCCAAGGAAAACATTAGATAAAAGTTACGCTTGGACTTATACAAATATTTAAGTTCAGTCTGGGGGTGGAGGGGAATGAAACCCATAAACTGATTGTTTCACGGTCGCCCCGGTATGTTCATTTGGCAAGAGAGGAGCCATGGGACCAAACCGGGTCTTTTTCTCTGCTCATTTCCTATTGCCTTACACTGCATAATCCCTAACAATACCAGCATATGCCATCTGGCTTTGTTCTCCTCCTCAGTCAGCAGTTTTGGATCCCCCCCAGTTGAAAACCTGCTTTGAATTTAGTCCTTTTTGTTTCCCATAATCACCTACAAAGGGTATTACAGAGCAGAGCAGGTTGTTGTTGTTCTCAGCTGGAACTGGTGACGAATGCAAGAGCTCCAGAGCCGGGGCTCGCTCCCCACCTTGGAGCCGGTTGTGTTGCAGGCCAACAGACTAACCCACGGGGCTGTGAAGGGCAGCCTTTTCGTCTTTTTATTTATTTACCAGCAATTGCACCTACGCCAGCATTTCTGAGCGGAGGCCATCTGATGGAGCTTTCTCAGGAGCCCCAAACCTTGTGTTTTCCTCCTCACTTGGTTGTTACCCCATGTGTGTTCACGGCCAGCATTGGCCAAAGGGCTCGGAGGTGTTTTGGGCAGGCTTCTAATTTTATTTATTGTCACAGCATGCAACTGCTGAGGTCACCAACGCTCTACATGCTGCTTATGAAAACTGGAGGTGGGGCAGGTGTTGTACAGGGAGTTACTTTTCTGTTAAAGGTGACCAGCACCAGGGAAAACAACTGAATTGTGTTTCTTGGTTGATTCTTGGTGTTATGTTGAAGAAGGCTCAGGAAATATTTCATTTTATTTTTTTTCCTTCTGACCATATTGAACTAGGTGTTTCTGTAAAAACTTTTTTGTCTTTTTTTATTATTATTACTGTTTATTTGTCTTAAGCTTCTTACAAACATGGAGGAGATGGGCACTCTGAAAGGTTCAGCTCTCCTTCCAAGGAGAGGCGTAATGTGACTTCTCCACTTGTGACAAGGCACAACATGAACTGGTCACCTAGAACACAAGAACTCTGAATATTTGCAGTAATTCAGTGTTAGGGGAGAAGAGGAGCTAATGGACTCTTTGGAGGAGCTCTGAGTTTCTAACTGTGATTCTCCTGGTGAGTCCTCCTGTGGTTTTTCTCCCTGCTCCAGCTTCTCTTACCTCACACCTTGACATAAGGACATCAATAAAGTGGGGACTCCATTTTAGTAAAAAGTTGACAAAGATAAGTCTTTTAAACCTCCAGAGCAAGGAATAGCAGCCTGGGGTGTGAGCAGGTGGCTGTTAATTAGCTTGGGCACCTCTAACTGTTCTTGCTGCGCCTGTCTAGAATTGCAGGACGCTGTGGAGATTTCCTTTCCCTGCCCCGTCCCAGTCTCCTCATCAGGAGAGCATTTGCAAGAGGTCAGCGATCTCTGTGAAGCTTAAACTGGGTCTGGTGGCATGATTACAAGATGACCAAAGCCCTGGCCCTTCCTTTAGGCACTGCTAGGGCTAGTGGCTGGCACCTGGTGATCAGAGCATCTCCTAATCCCCAGGCACTTTTGCCAGGGAATTTCCCGTGGTGTTCTAGCAGACCCCGTGGGACCGCGCAGCCTGGTCGGCACTAGTCCTTGGGTTAGAGCAGGCATCCGTTACGGGAGTGTTTTGCACTCCCAGCTATAAAGGGTGAGGAGAAAATAGGCCTGCTTTTCTCAACTGACCACGGGCGGAGGAGAATGGACCTTGGCTCCCTGCAAGGGGAGTGGGAGGAGAGGCTGCTTATTGCAGACCGTGGCAAGAGAGACATCAGTTTTCAGAGCAAGATACAGATGCAGGGAAGGTAAGTAATGACTGGAAGGAATCCAGAAGATTTTAGAAAAATCAGCAAAGAGCTAAGCACGTCTTCATTTTGATCCGGAAATTTCTTTAGAAGATGCTCCAAGCAATCCCACTAATGTTCTTCCATGGCATTACATAGATTACATCTTTTCCAGCAATATTGTTCCCTGTTGGTTCTATCGTTCTCCATTTGTTTCATTTTGAGAACAGCTCTATTTCTCGGTGCATAAAGTCACTCCTTGAGCTCTTCCAGGAAGGAGAAGCAGGTGGTGGGTGCTGGACCCATCTCCTCAGGGTGGGGTGGGTCTCGGTGTGCAGGTGGAGTCGGGACAGCATGGTGACTGTCAGTTGTGTGCTGTGCTCCAGTGTGACGCTGCTCTCCCACGTGATGCTGCTCCGCATGACGTGGCTGTGATCTTGACACTGGAAGTCTGCAGGAAACCCCTGCACCGCGGTAAATGGGGGTGAGTCCTTCATCTGCGGTAGGATGCGGATACGGAGAAAACTCCAGAAATAGGGACAGAGCTAGAAAAGCGATAGACAGAATGGGGTCTATCACTGGTATCATCCCTGCCGGCTCTACAGAAAGTGAGAGCAGTAAGGTTGTATCCCAAGAAGTCCCTGCTCATTACATCAGTTCAGCTCCTGCTCAGAATTCAAGCCTGAGAGCGTGCGACACTACAAAGCAGGTCTTTTCCCACTGAATCTGCATGCTGACTTGCACCATCTCTCCTTGGGTTTTCTTTCAAAAACCCTCAGTGACCTGGTATACACATACCCTCAGAAAATCATTATGGTATATACACATCATTTTTGAAAAAGCATTTTAGTGAGGTTAGTTTTATTTCTCCAAATGCTAACGTGAACAGTAGGAAAAAGCTGTTGGTTGAAACGTAGGACCCCCCTGGCTCGTCGGGGTGGCTGAGGCATTGCTTCAGCTCGATGACGGATTGCTCGGGTGCTTCCTGGGGACAGCTTTGCTGACGCCGTGTCTGTAGCGCTGAAGACTTCCCAGCACTTACAGAGCACAGGCGAGCAGTGCTGAGCTTGTGCCCTGGAGCGTGGTCCAGCTCCCGAAGAAAAGCTCTGCCAGCCAAAGCGTGGCTGTGCCAGGGGTACGTCGTCTGCGCCAGGGGCTGGAGGTGGCAGG